CTACTGACGGCAAAATGATATTACAAGCGCCGTCTCATTAATAATTCTATGGCCTATTTTACCCGAGAACTTACTTGGAAGTTTATATCGTTTACAACAATTTGGTTTGTTGTTTATCACTATCATGTTCCGTCGATTTTTTCTTAGGTGTACTTTAAAACAAAAATACAAAATAAATTCACTATAAATAATACAATTTGCTGCAATAACGAGGAAAAGTGCATTCATTTCTAAAAATAATTTGAAAAAAATAATTATGAACATAAATATAATAATTATATTATACAGTTAATTGAACGACAGATACAATGGCTTACCATGAGATTTAAATATTGCAATGAACAATTATTTTAAATATAAAGTATTTGATTTAACTGTAACTCCATAGTAATTGATTTTAAGTAAGTACAGATTTTAGTTTTGGTAAAAAGAAGTATGGTCCATTCGGTATTTATTTCATTTAATTTATGGACAATTACAAAATCTTTACTGACATTATCCATTGATTTGAAAAATAAAAGACCATAGATTTATAATATAAATTTTCAAAATCAAGTCCAATTGCAATTAAACTTTACAGTTTTATATTCATACTTCTGATCTGTGAATTATTAAATATAAATATTTAATTCAAGTAAATGTAGAAAATTCTAAAATATTCTCTGAATATACTATTTGATAAATTTATTTTCATATTTTTAGGATGCATATATTACGCTTTATATGGACACGACTGCAAATTATTTTAATTTTATACTAATTAATATGTTAAAATGCGCTTAAAAATTGTTTATTTATTTTAAAAAGCTTTCACAATAATTCATTTGTTAATACATACAGTTAAATCATATACAATGAATGCAGTTGATATGTTAATATTTAATACATACTGCATTAAACAATATGCTAAAATTTGTAAAAGATTTTTATTATGAAGTTATTTGTAGAAAGATTTTGTCAGGACATAAATATTTAAAATTACTAATGGTACATTTTCAGGAAAGAATGAAATAAATTAAATAATTATGTCCTTTTTACCGTTTAAAGTGAAACAAATGAACAATTTACTGAAAAATAAAATAGACAATTTCCAAGTGAGTATAAAGTATACCTCTGTTACGACAATGCATCTGGTTCAAATGAAAGAGTTTGTAAAAAGAGAAAAGAGAAGTCAATGATTGAAAAGTTCGAAATAACTACTGATTGCATGTACACAGGTATATATATATATAATATACACAATGTCCGCAAAAAGCAATAAAATAGCTGTAGAAAAGACAAAGTGAATTGTGCTTAAGCGTCCATTTAAAAATATGCCAAGCCTATTTATGAAAAAGAAGCCTAGGTCCAGGGTTATCGATATTACGTATAATTGTAAATAGAGCGAAGTTATAGGACACATATAAATAAACGTATGTGCAGTCGCTTTTTTTGGTCAATGCGGATTGGATTAAGGTCAACAGTTTTGAGAGGGAGTAAGAGAGAGAGAGAGAGAGAGAGAGAGAGAGAGAGAGAGAGAGAGAGAGAATTTGCACAAGAAAAATAAAGAAACAAAATTTTATAATAATAATAAACAAAAATATACAAGAAAATAACAGAAAGACTAAGCCAGTCGCTATAATAATAGGGTATTTTATTTTATTATAATTAACTGTACGTACGCATAGACAAAAGTTTTGCTATTAAAAATTAACTTGTAATACTTGTATAGGGAGAGAGTTTATTAATTTTGAAACTAGGCAAATTTCATTTCCAATC